TTTTAGTGTCCATAAAATTATTTATATTTGTAATTATTAGTTTTTTTTATCTACAGATTGTCATCGCATTGAGGCATTTATTTTAGTGATTTTTTTATAGTTGTTTATTTCAATAAACATGATTAACTAGATGTACATGCCGACTGTATTAGGTTATTTACTTAATGTGTTAATAAAATAAATAGAAATACTTGAAGAATTAAAAATTGTAATTTTTAAATTAGAAATTTATTATTTTAATAATTTACGTTCAATATATAACTTATATTTTGTATATTAATCGTAAATTCTTTATACGTAATTAAATTTGTATTACATATTTGAAAAGTTATTGAAGACAACTCCAAGATATAGAATTTGAAGTATTCAATTATAACTTTTCAACTCCGGGTATTGGGTTGAAATATAAGAATTAATAAAACATATTTTATAGATTTAGCTATAACCTACCTCATACATTTTTTAAACTGATCTGATTTATATAATGAGTAATTATTTATATACAAATAGTAATTAGTATAGAAACGAACTGTTATGTATTTAATGTTTCCAAATGAAAAGTATATTGTACATAGTGTACGTCATACGTTAATCTAATGACTAATCTAATGTAACCCAATGGCCTTTGCTAACCATGGTTTTTTATTCAAAAATAATAAAAAAAAATTACATTCTGATAGTATCATAGTAATATTGTATTTTCACTTTTAATCAATAGTAGAAAATTAAAAAAAGAAACAGGACTTAAACCAAAACACTGTTAAAGGGGTACATACTGAATCAGCCGAGTGCAAAACGATAAAGTTATACCTAAGTAGTTATTTAAGTATTTCAGACGAACCGGTAACAAATTATTGACAATTAATTATCATTTTTGGTACGTTTTTTTTAAGTCAAATAAGTATACAATATATTTTTACGGTTAAGAGAGTTGAGAGTTTTTTGGTTCATTTTATCGCTTGCAATTGTATTAGACTGTAAGACATGATTTTCAATATCAAAGTTTTGAATCATCTTATAGCAAACAAATACCTAATAGAGCCGAGTTATAAATGTATGAAATACGTAAATGGCATCTTTGGTTACACTCCGGATCGAGATGATTGATGATCGACGTCTACGAATAAGGAATGTCCGTCCGGCCATTTGAAAGTCGTCGGTGGAGAAATTAGATTTAGCGCACCCGCTACCTTGTCAGCTGCTTTCGTGGGGTATACACACACATGACACATACAAATAAACGTATAAATATAATGTGTAATGATATACAAAATAAAAAAATAATAATAATAACCCTGGCTATAAAACAAAAACTGAGATCAAAGCCACCCACAAGTAATTAACTCTTTGAGACACGGTGGTTAGTATATTGACCACTTTTGTTAAGGCCAATCGGCCTAACTGAACCCCTAGGTTAAGGGGGGGGGGGGTTAAAGAGGATAATCACATATAATATATATATAAATATATACTTCATTTTATTTTTTGGCGTTTGTTAGAAGTGATGATTACATAAAAATATAGTCAACTAAATGCACCTTTAGAGCGTATAGTTCAATCATATATATATTTTTTACAATCATTTCGCTGATTTTTATCTTGTTTTTTAGGGTATTTTTTGGTGACGTTCCTTGGCTTCCAAAGAGTATAGGTTGTACCAACCTATCTCTATGTTTACTCATTGCACCTACAAGTACAATGGAGTATACCGTGATCTCCAATAGCCTAAGGTATTCGCGTGATGTGCTTTTACGATATTTCCGGCGATAAATGCATACCTGTACACATGATGTAGTCTGGGGGGGGGGGGCTAGAAATGTGCGACAATCTGAAATCAACCGAATGAATCACAATTGATGTACCTATAATTTGAAATTTGCCAGAATTTGTATTAAATGCTTTTAAACCCGTAATTTGATTTCGCATGGCTACAAATTAATCGCATATATACTATTCTTACCTATACTCATATTAACGTTTTAGTAAAAACACATCTCCCAGCAACCAACGTATTGGCCGATTTTAAGTAAACAAATATACGTAGCCAAATGTTTACTTTTCTGGCATCCCGTCCCGTGTACTAGAAGAAATTGGTGCTGTGAGAAATAAATAGATAAACAAAGTATACAAATTTGGATGTACTTTAAATTAATTTCAATTTCTCTAAATCAAAGTTTGATTTTGAACGAAGGTATTTTTTTAATTTTTGGGTGAGAATCTTTTTTTGAAGTTGGTATAATTATACAGACTATACTAACTTTAGATGGATTCTAATATCTAATAGATAGGTCATTTTCGGTTCTATCCATATTGTCACTGGTTAAAATTGTTTAAGGGGATTGCATGCGGTCGGTTTTTTCAGTCAATACACATCATTTTTATTCCATTGCACAAACCGAACCAGTGATCCGAAAAGCAATCTAAAAACAGATTTGAATTTGCCATGAAGTTTACTTATGATCGGTTAGGGTACTTTTTTCAATTTTTAATTTTAACCCTTTCCAAATGATTTAAAAATTTAAAATTTTAAATAATGTTCAAACGTATTTTATACATAGTAGGAATAAGATATCAAAAAAGTACCCTGACCGATCATAAGTAAACTTCATGACAAATTAAAATCCGTTTTCAGATTATTTATTGGATCACTGGTTCAGCCTGTGCGATGGAACAAAAAATGTATGCTATATTAACTAAAATGGTTTTTACTCATAAACAAGATAATTTAAATTAAAAATAATACCATGAAGCTTATACAAATTAACCGGTAAATTAATTGACATGATCAAAATTTATTAAAACTACTTTTTTCCTAAATATTGCCTATACAAAACTCTTTAATAACCAACCGCATGCAATCACCTTAAACATAAAATTTCCTATGTTAATCAAATGCAAACAATTCACGAGGATTAGGGTTAAGATAAAGATCCGATTCTTTAAGGAATTTCTTATTTGAATGGGCTACTATCGATTAGGTAGAGGGGAGGGAAAAAACATATTTGTAGACACAGTGTCTAATCTATAATTTGGTAATAAGAAGTCTTATTCTTTTGATGAATTCATTGCCATAAAAACTATTTCATTTTTTTTACGTTTAACAGTAAGACCTTTAAATTAACTTCAAAAAGAAAAGATGTGATGCTAACAAGGACTCATGCTGTGGTGGATCTAAATCATTTTTATAGGGGTTTTCATTTTTTTCTCTTATTAATATAGTATATACTGTATCATAGATCTCAATATATAAATGTCAACGCGGTCTATATGAGCTGGTAGAGAATCCTAACACCCATTTTAATCCACCCCTAGGCGCGAGTCAAGTAAGTGGCTTTAAATAAGTTTTGTAAGAGGACTGTTATTTATATGAATGGGGGCTATCCCCTGTATATTATCTATACTCAAGTATAATATACAGTAAGTTTTGTCTATGATATATATATTTTTTTTAAACCGCCCCGCTCTCTTTTATATGATATAATATAGCTATATTATTATAAACATTCAGAACTGGATGACAATAAACAGAGAAAAATAAATACCAATTTCCAAAAAAAAAAATGTACAATTTCTTTATTATGCAAAATTATTATAATGTATTCATTATATTTATTATCATACTATATAACTAATAGTATAATATTGATGTATATTACTCATTGATCTTAAATAAACTATTTTCATATAAATATATTATATATATATATGAATCTGAGTTATACATGTACATAAGAAATAGGTATGTATATTTTATAATGGTCGCTAAATATATGCTGTATACATAATTTAAAGTCACATACATTATTATTATTATTATAATTATATATTTATTATGCTGGACGACCTCAGCAAATTCCACTAAACAAGGTGCCAAAATTACTCAAATCATTCACATAGTGAGACATAATAATTAGACATTTAGACATAATGAGTGATCTTCTACTCGCAGATAAGTTTTACAATTTAGACACAATCACAAAAAAAATTTCCTTTCCATTATATGCTTGACAAAATTTAGTACATCGTCTTATCCTACAATAAAATTATATAATAAATAAATATAAACATAAGATAATATATTTTTTTATTTACTTTATAAAATCAATGTAGGTAGCGCATAACCATCTTCTTTAACTTCACATCCGTAATAATTCATACATTAAAAGGCCGATATTAACATAATTATTAGTTAAATCATTATACAGCTACTAATATTAGTTTTAAAAAGAAAATAAATAAATATTTATAATTATAAACAAAACTGGATAAAATGTTTTGTTCTAATGAGCACGCAAAATAGGTTATACAGTATACATAAAATATAATAATCGGTAAATGAACTGATTGCTAGTATTTTTTTATATTTTACTTAATGTTATATTTTGCGTACATAACTGTTATAAACCAATTGATGCCATTTAAATATTATTTGCTATATTCTTTTTTTTAAATATAAGTAAATCGTTATCAAAAAAAAGAGTATTATTAATATTATTATTTTACATCATTATCAATATGTGTAATTACTTTTACACAAAAAAATGTATTACATCATATACATATATATTTATTTATTTTTCAATTTTTACCTTTAGGCTATAAGAAAATTTTAATGTTAAATGCATAGGCGTAGTAAGCGGATAATAATGAATATCCTAACAAAAATCAAATTTAGGGTATAATTATTTTTGAAATGAAAATTCCAAATAAAAAAATGAACCAACACACTGTTAATAGAAAAATATAAATAAATAAATGTTTATTAAATTAATATATTTATTTAAATTTACTCGTTAGAAAGTATTTTTAAAGACCATTAACATGGTATCAAACACTGTAGTTTTATTTTCGTTTTTTCTAGCACTTTAAATTCAATAGAGGAATTTAAAAAAAAATCCAATTATTTATACATATATATTTATATATATATAATATATATATTTCCCTTACTATATATATATATAAATATACATATACTTTTTTTTTGTCATGCATTGCAAGAAGGTAGAATTTCAAATAAATCTTTTAATATATTACATGGCAAAATTGAAAAATAAAAATATAAAAATCAAGAGTGCAGAAAATAATTCTATTACAATTAAATTTTTCCACACATTATAAAGACGCTTTTGTTGTTGTTAATTAAAGTTCTTTTAGAAACATTTCAAAAGAAATATTAATAATGGTTTGATATCTTATACCACAAGAATAATTATAATTTTTTTTTTTTTTTTTAGAAACAACATGTTTGAATAAACGTTTCTGTTAGATGGTTTTTAACTTATAATACATAAAATTTAAAGAGGTTTTAAGTCGAATCGGCATCAGGTATTGTTGATGATCCGTTAACTGCAATCACCTGTTGTCCGTTAGCAGCCGGAGTTGCATTATTAGACTTGTTCTTTGACGGAGACTTATTCTGTTGACCTTTTGACCTTTGGTTTTTCGACTGTTTGCTGTTTCCGTTATTTGTGCTATTATTGTTAGTGTTTCCATTGTTTGTTGCATTAGTTTGTGATGTATTGGTTGCACTACTGTCGTTATTGAAATCATAGGCCCCTATAAGAAAACAAAACTAAATTGAATAAAAATAATTTCGATTTAGTCTTTTAAAATAAATTTTTACATAATTACTATAGCTCAATTACATTAGCTATTTGTTAGTTGATTCTATATTAAAATACACATTACTATCAATCTACACTTCATGTAACAAGTCGTAGCTGTATTTTTATTTTTTAACTTGGTGCAGTAATCACTAGTGCTTTTGTTTATATAAAGTAGTACGAGATATCTTTCAAATTTTATGGTTTTAACTACTTAGTAGTTCATTCCTATCTGTTGTATTACAATAATATACTTTCTATACATGTCATGCAGTAACTAAAAATTTGTATACGTCTAAATATCAATACGAGCATTCTACAATAAAGTAAAATCTTTAAAAGCAGGAAGTTTTATTATATCATGAATAATGTACATGGAACTCATTTAGAAATATTTATAACTGAATGAATTACTCAATATATTTGTTTTCAACATTCAATCTTTCATTAGATGACCTATTTTTCTTGCAACACAAAACTCTTTTTATCTGTGGCACATAATAAAACTGTTTCTTGTTAGTATTGCTTTACTTACATTCGTTAACATCATTACTAATACTACCACTGCCTTTAGAACTAGCTGGGCATTCACCTTGAGCAGCAGCTATGGCGCGATTTCTCCGTTTTTGGCTGCTTTTGGACTTTGGTGCTTGCGCGTCCACACTAGATACAGACTCTAGCGCAAATAAAATAAAAATAATAGAAAAAAACATACAAATAAAATACTTGAAAATGTTTTTTAAAAAGAACAAATAATGAAATATTGTGTTGTGCACTATTAATACTGTTTTTTTTTTTCATTTTTTAAGCACAATGTTAATAAAAATGTAATAGAATGTTAATAAAAATGTAATAGAATGTTATTTTTTTTATGAATACTTGGCTTCTGGTATTGACTGTATCACAATATTAAAATTAAAATTAAGTATTTGGCCATATTGAAAAAACAAACAATGGTTTTTATATAGTATTATTTATAGATTACAAAGAGTGATTCCCCAAAAAATCTCCATACTCTGTCCAGCGAGTGAACGCGACTACACAGAAATTAAACATGCTACTCCTGGTAGCACAGTCTGGGCAGTAGGGTACTTTGATTTCTGCAAAGGTACATTCTCTCGCTGGACATAGTGATGGTGCTTTTCAGATGAAGATAAATTCCCATTTACATGCTCAAGTATATTGCCCTGCTAGCAAAGAAGGCAGTATATGCCAAACATAGAAAAATGAAAATTTTATGAAGGAATACTCAGTATTTAAACGTGCAATTTTTATGTCCTTAGCAAAATGTTACCATTTTTTCCCAGGATTTTACAATAGATTCATTGTAAATCGTAGTATGTTATATAAATGTATTTAAAAAAATAAAAACATGTTTTTATGGGGGGGGGGAAAGCAGTATGTGCCATGATTCAAGCAAGAAAGCAATATATGATCAGAACATATTATGGCCTTTTTGCTATGTACAGTGCACTTACATTTTTCTTGCTAAGAAGCTTATGCATTTTTTAGCAGTAGACTACAATCACAATGTAGATAAATTATCTACAACGTAGATACAACATATTTATTTATAATGAACACACATCAATTCATATTAAATGTTTTGTAAAAATGATGATACTAATTTTATTACTTCTAACTTGAGTTTTATTACCTAAATGGGTTGATACCAATGGGCTGTTATCAATTATGACTTGCAAGAACAACGTATTAGAACATACTGTTCCTTTCTTAAGGAAAAAATTATATATCCATTCATAAATTACTAAGCAAAAACAACATATACGTTGTTTTTAGTGAACTCTGATGTTATTTATCTATTTCAAGTATTTTATTTGATTCTGCGTAAAGAATTATATAAGATGCATTAATTATTTAGTAAATTTTATCAAATTCACAACTATTACTAACAAATTTAGAAAAAAAAATGTTTTCTTAAATAAATACAACATGGCATAGTATATGCCAAGCAGTATGCTTTCTTTGCTAGCGAGGCAGTATAGATGGATGTTTTTACTTTTTTTTGCTCCAGTACCAAAATCAGTTAACAGCAACATAGTCTATTTGGCCAAACGTCTACATTATCAAATAGCATGATATAGAAAAATAACTAATTAAAGCCATCCATACAAAAATGTATGTTACACCACAAAATGCAATTAAAATTTTTAGATTTGCGTAGTATATAATTCTATGTGAGTTTTATTATAACGTTAGAAAGTTATTTTTTAAAACACTAATACCTAGTTTTTTTCTATAATAATTATTATTTATTTATTTAATACGATGACCCTAATGGTACACAATTTAAATATTATTTTCTTTTATCTGCACATTAATTTATATTTGAGTAATGTTTGTGTTACAATAATTATAAATGATTTTTTTTAACTAAGCTAATATCAAACTATTCCAACAAAAATGAATAAATAGAAACTTTTTTAATTGATTAACTCATTCTAGGGCATAACTCATGAAAAACAACATTCCAAAAACAAAACAAAAGCACAAACAAAAATGTTTAAGGTACATTAACTTGAGATTTTTTACCTCTATCACCACTGTCTTGAGCGCTGTCAAGTACAGTGTGTTCATCATCAGCTGTCCTTCTTCTATCTTCCATTCGTCTGGTACCACCTCCTCTATTACCTCTAGGAGCAGAGTTACCGTTACCAGCACCTCCACCACGACGTTCTCTAGCCATGTTGTTACCTTGACCTCCTTGACGATTATACTGATATTGGTTGGATCGCTGTGATGTAGGCGGTAGTCTATCGTCAACTCCGTCCTGATTTTGGTTTCTGTTGTTACCTGTATATTTGTGATTAAAATAACACCATTACAAGCCATCCATAGTATAATTATGAATTTTCTATAACTTACTGTTGTTATAGAAGTCATGCCTTGTGCCTCGACCACGATTAGTTGTTCCTCTAGGTCGTCCACTTCCTCTGCCCATTGAATTACCTCCCATTCCGTTATTCATACTTTCAGTATCATTATTAAAGTTTCTAAACAGAAAAAATAAACAATAATAATCATTCTAATGCAAATATACCCAGGTTTGGGTACAGCATAGGTACCCTAACCTAAAAATAAATTTATTAGTGTTAAAACTAGTGCCTGTGATTTTAAACGTGTAATTTAAATACACGTGTACACGAACCCCGTGTAATTATAAATACACGTGTATTTAAAAAAATTTATTTTGTTAAAAATTTTAGTTTGAGTTAACGTATTTACACAAATATACTTGTGTTTGAGTTCGTATAATTAAATAGACGTGATATTAAACATAAAACTAAAATTAATAACAAAAATAAATTTTTTTGAATACACGTGTATGTTAATTACACGTGTTTCACGTGTAATCGAATACACGTGTAATAAGGACCTCTAGTTGAAACTAGATACAAGAAACTATGTGAAATCCTATGTAAATCCAGTTTTTTTTTTAATCTTAAGCGAGAACTTGATTTATGGTAATTCATTTATTAACACAGTGAAAATATTTTTTTTTTTAAATACTTCACATAAATAAAAATTAAAATTATCAAAGGTTAAGTGTTAGTAAGTAAAGAAACACCTAATAACATTTTACACTAAAAAAAATTAAAAAACAACTTAATTTTAACACTTAAAGCAGCTAGATAAAGTGATAGGCAAAATTTATATTTTATACATATTTTATTTTAAACTGGAATGGAAATTTTGTTCCGAAAGAATTTACCGATCGTTTCGCCTTTGCATGGTATAGTTTGGTATCATTTGATGAGGGTAAGATGGACCAGTACTGTGAATGCTACGTAATTCTTGTTCCATCCCCATTTTTTCTTGCCTAATTTGTTCAAGTTCCTTAAATTATAAAAAACAAAACACATTAAAAAAATAAGGTCAATTACAATAATAAAATATCAAAATATAATTACTTTAAGGTGTTCTAGGTGGTATTCAAGCAAAACTTTAGCATTTGATATGCTTTCAACTGTGCCAACAAAGACAAAAGGAACTTGGCCCTCTTCACGGGGAATAGTAGGTTGAGGTTCATTGTCACCTTCAATTTTTACTCTGATCTAAGGTCAATAGAATTTTTTTTTTAAATAATTTTTAACAATACGGATATAAAATTCGTTCTTATTTTGACTTACAACTCCACTTTTGTCCACAATATCCTGTATGTTACGACCGTTTTTACCAATAACTTTTCCTATAAAGTCTCTTGGAACTTGTAAGAATTCTTCTTTGTATTCCAAAATCCCCCGTGCTTTCACAACAGCTTCTTTATTCTTAAAACAAATATATTATATTATTTAAAATAGTAAATATATTAGTTAAAATTTAATCATTTATTAAAAAACATTACCTCTCCGTAAATTTTAAAGATGCCCGTGTGTTCGTCTAGTTCAATATTCGTAATTCCGTCGACCCTGCGTGCTTGCTGTATGTTAGTACCGTGGGCACCAATAGCTAATCCCATTAAATCATCTCGTACCTTAAACTCGTCCGTATAAGATGATGATGTAATTTGTTGCTTGGAGCTTTCTAGTTGCCTAGCCAACTCCTCAGTCTTTTTTAGCAACATCACCTTTTGATTAAGGTTCCTAAAATGCATGTCCGCTAGCATCAGCGCTCGCTTACTGGTCAAGGGAGAACGAGATATTACGCTTAGTACACATTGGTCAGCATTATAGATGACCAACGACGCACCAATTGCTTTTTGTAGATCTTTATGGATACCATCTATCTTAGCACTGAAAATAAAATAACAGTTAAAACTATTGTAAATTACAAACTAAAATGAAATACACACCATTCCCTAACATCTTCAGGCACATCAATGTCAAACTTAAAAAAAGTGTTGGCATTAATGTGTGGGTTTGTGTTCCTGCACCTCAGACGATCTGGTGTTACTATCTCTGTGTACGTACTATCGAGATGCTGGACAGCAAATTGGGTAGGAGGATTTCCACTGATAATTTTTATTACTGCTTTAATCCATCCTAAACATGGATGAGGCTCTCTGGTGGTTTTTACTTCTACCTCTTGGTTGTCTGTGAAATCGGTGCTACACTGACTATCAGCCAAAGGAAGACGTACATTGCCACAATTGAATTTAGTTTCGGGATACCAGCTAAAAATAAATTAAGTAATTAAAATATATATTTTTTAATTTATAGTAACTTATAATTTTAAATTGTATGGAAGTGTTACAACATTTAATATATTATATGTAACTGCTAATTAATAAATAATTTTGATTTATATTTATTAATGTAATAAAGGAGCAGCAATACAGTGTTACCTACAACCTACTTAACCCGCTCACTGCTATAGACGCGTAAACGCGTCCATAGATAAGCAACTGTGTGGTGCTATGAATGCTTATACACTTTAAAAATCAACAAAAACTATAATCATTAATGTGATAACACAAACATATGGTAGATTACAAGACAAATCCTATGAAATAATAAAAAATAAAAACTGAAAAATATCAAAGAAGCTATAAGTAAAATAAAATATTTGTTATGCTAGGGTTCCTAAATCTTAATCATATTTTATAAAGCACTATCATTGTCTATAAAATGATCAGACGCATATGCAAATATGAATAGTTATACACGTGCTCATAGCTTTACACAATTGCTTTTCTATAGACGAATGTTTATATAATTTAATTTTTTAATTTGCATATTTATATTTTTACCTCAATTTTTTAGGAAACAATTGCTAACTTAAATACCCAATATATTCTAAAATACTGACTAAAAAAAAAAAATTGATGTCCAAATTCTTAACCCATAGGTACATATTATCCCAGCAGAGTAGCATACAATAGCAAAAAATTAATTCAGCAGTAAAAGGGATAATTTTAATTATGAAAAATACTAATTTTGACTTTTAAACAATTTGAATACATTTTTCACATCAAATTCCTAATTTAAATGAGATTGAATTGTCAAAATTATATTCATACACCCAATTTGATACACCTAATTTTGTTAACGAACTTTTATGGAGAAAAAATGTAGCTGCTTATTATTATTACAGTTTTAACTTATAACATAATAATAAAAATACTTACTCATTTGGGAAAGAAACTAAGACTTCACTATCCATAACACCCATGACGACACCCTAAAAATAAAAATAAAACATTAAATTAGGATAATAACTGCATAACTTTTGATAAATTGAAAAGCTAGTACTGGTTACTATCACATTGGATATTAACAACATTTTATCTTTAATATGTTAATATTTAAATTTTAACTCTTTCAGCCATGTTCGTTCAATGTCAATGTAACAAATTGAAATATTTTGATATTGAGTAGAAAGTTGAAATTTAATGTGTAACAGTGTTGGGAAGAACCCGCTATTTAAACCTTAACTATTGGGAACGTGCGAGTACGACGCTTTCCTGTTGAATTTTTCTATTTAAAATGATATATTGAACCATAATTGAAAATTACATAACAATAATGAAATTTAAGCAAAATAATTGGTTTTTGGTATAATAACCATTCTGTCAAATGATGCACGGTGAGCATTTGTTTTCTATTTTAGCCATCACTTGATTATTTATATTTTCAAATCCTCACTTATCACTTATAAATTATGCTAACACATCAAGGAATGTTTCAGAAAAAAATATAACAGACATTCTGAGACAAAAAAAAATATAAAAACAAATTCACATATTTCATCAGAACTGAAAAAATTTAATGAAATGTTATTTCAACAAAATAGATCCACTACTGGATGTTGGCATGAGGTGGTATAAGTTATATCGAGGGTTAAGTATATTATAATTGAACAAGTAGTGGCTAAAATATAAATCAAGTGAGCGTTTACCACACGACAATGAAAGGTATTTATATAAAAATACATTTCATTGACTTTGCTAGGGTTAAAAATGTTTACTCATTACGATAGTTTGTTGGAAACACATTTTTGTGAATTATGCATCGATATCTAACTGACTATGTTATTTCCTGTAAGTCTATACACTGTAGTTTGCTTAACAATGAACTAACCCATATGTGTTATGTAATTAACATACAGTCACAACCTTATTATATATAAAACGTTAAGAAATAGGAACATTATATGATAAGTCTATTGCCTTAATGAGAATGACTTAATTAGTAAAAGATCATAGTGGATACCGTTAGCATAATTAAAAAAGGTTGTTAGTAAATTTTGGCCGAAATGTGCTACTGTATAGTGTACTATCTGATAATGAATAGGAATGGTTTTGTCTTGCAAAAACATAGTAGAAAATAGCCATTTTTAAATCACTTTAATGCGGAAAGTACTATAAATAAATGTGTCAAAAGGAAAAACAGAGTGAAAAACTTTAATACTTTTCTGTTCCGTTTTACACGGAATGGTATAATTAAAGCAATATTTGAATTGTTATAAATGATGATTGGCATTAGCTAATTACTACTTTTGTAACCAACACACTAATAGTTTGCCTTATCAGTCATTATTTTGTTTCATTAGTAAATGATTTAATACGTTTAAATTTTAAACTTTCTCACTGAATATTTTTTTTTTTGTCAAATTTGTTATTGTTAATTATGTTTTGTAAATATTTAATATAGTACATCCCTGCACATTTTGCTTGGAATTAATAGTATAGATAGATAAAAATATATGAATAATAGACGTGTTACTGCTGTTTTCTTGTTACATACTGCTAATTAAATACCTACAGGCTTTAACATAAATTAAGGTTTAACTATAAAATGTGTGTGTATATATTTAATATACATGTATATGTATATCTTTTTACTTAAGGAAAAATCATGTACTCGGCTGTGTGGACATTAAGTGTTAAGTTAATAATTGTGATCCCCCAAACATCGGGTGTCCTGTGGTTGGTCTATTTAATTTGAACGGAATACTGAACACCTAGTTATTTTTTGGCGCAACCCATCAAAGTATTACTGTACTCTGTTTTGAATAAGAACAAAGTATAGGTAGTATAATATTATTATTAGCTTTATGACGTTAAACTTGAAAACTTTGGCCAGTGTTGACAAACATGAAAGTAACAGTCGATAAACTTTGTACCCCTTTTAAGAAATAACATTTTGTTGCACCCGGTTTGTACCGTACCCAAAACATAATATTATTTTTGTTCATCGGTGCAATCAATCGACCAGCGTAATCACTAACCGGAATGGACATGACAGTATGGAGTTGGAAGTTGGAATGGAGTTGGGAGAAGCCAAAAATTAATCGAGACTGTGTATGCAAGTGAGCCGCCGGTGTTAACCTCAAAGTGATTTTGGACTTGAGGGTACGCCGTGTGGCCGACAGTCGGTGGCCGCTGAACGGCACATGGGCGTTTTTGGCTACCACGGGAAACCCGTCGGCGACACCGCGTCCGCACAAAAACGCATAACCTTATTTGCCGTAACGTGTGTGCATGTATGCATGCGTGCGCGACTCACCTCATAATAAGCGCCGTTTTCGAAGAGCACCTCGACTTTCAGATCGTCCATTGCGAGACTGCGACCGCTACTGATGATGGCGATGATGTTAACGAGGGGTTTTTCTCCTCGGTCGTCTCGTCACACCGTTTCGATGCCGTCGGTCGGTTACTGATCACACGCGCGCGCACACAGCGGTGGTGGTAAAGAAATGATACCGCGGCGGTCGTCGGCTTAATGCGTGTGTGTGTGATATTGACAAATATTTATTTATTATTACGGCACAACTGCACGGGTAGAAGTTTTTTTAAGAGATCTCGTGTTGTAGGAAGACTGTGCCGCGAACGTGACGTACGACGGACGGACGGCGGCGTTCGGTGGGATTGGCCGTGAAGAAGGTACGCCGAAATGTGACGGAGCTGGACGTTATTAAAAATATTTTATTATCGTTAGAGGTGTAGGTACGAGCAGAGGAAACACGGGTAGCCGCTGATGCCTGATGATGATACCGTATGACGATGAAGCCGTCTGCGCGTGCCAGTTGACTGCGGCTGTCGGGGCAAGTGTTGCGTCGACGTTGATGGAACGCGGAGCGTGCACCGTGTGCGTTTGGAAAAAAAATATTCGCGAAGAAAACGTAATAATATAATGTATAAAATGAAATTAAATTTAAAAAAGGCAAGAGATGAAAATAAAAAAAATAATAACAATCGTGATTCGTGTGTGTTGCGTTTTAGGGCTTAGACGGTGCGGACGCGTTCGGCCAATGGCATCGCGCGCGGCTCCGCAGTGTTGCCCGTACCGCCGGCCGCGAATTCCCAACCGGCACAGCGTTTCCCCCCGCGGCCCGTCCTACCACACCGGTTCTAACCGCGTGTCCTTTTCTCTTTTATGTTGTCCCGTTCTCCGCGAAAATCTCCTCTCGTTTGGTTTTTTTTCCCTCCGCCCCTTCCACACGCTAATCAAAGTACGGCATCCGGCACCAACAACCATGTCGTGTATCCGACCCGTCAACGGCCACGCCGGCCGGCGAACGCGACCAGTTTGGCGCCATTCCAGCGAAATTCGAAACTTGAAAACAACGCGTCCGGCGCCTATCACTGGCCGTCCTACATGCTATCACACGTGCTTTTCCCATAATAATATATAAACGATCGCAGTGTCATTAAAGTGGTTTTGTTAGCACACACAACGTGCTGATATAATATGATTATGTTGGTGGACGATAATTAAAAATATAATTTGGTAAATACCGAGAAACTGCTTAAAAAAAATAATAAACATTTCTATAAAAAATCGTAAAACGGAGTTTGCGGTTTGTCACTCGAACATAAATAATTTTTGAACTTATAACGATATTGTAAATTTTATCGAATTAACGGTGAAAACTGACAAACGATAATAATTATTATTGTTACTGATGTATTTTTTTTTAATCTGGTCGCTCGCGGGTATATCCCCTCCGCCGACTGCGCTCGGAGAATCAAAATTGACGCATGTGTCAAGTTCATCGACTTTAGCTATAGATATGTGCAAACAATAAATCATAACATTAACGTGCGAGAGAGACAGCTGTTAGTCTGCGCTACACACATAAGGTTTAATTTTTCAGCATAGGTACGCTACTCCGTTTGGTTGTCTATCGGTGTTTACTCTTTGCCGTTTTTCTTTTGTTATTGGCTTGAATTGTTTAACTTTTGGACCTACGTTTGCAAATATTATGCGATTTTATTGTAATATTCTTATTATTGATTATAATTCATAGTAGATACCTATGGCTATGCACCTAAAGTCTAAACCAGTAGCACTACTTTTCTTTCTTCTAACATACCTACTCGTGACTTGTGGTAGGGGTAGGTCTTGGAGCGGGCGAGTAAATGTCCACAGGGCTGTTGACATTTTCGGTTTTAAGGCCGTTATCAAGTTATAACAACAACTTGTTAAATTTTCTTAAAAATATGTGTACTAGGTATGCAACGATTATAAAACAAAACTTAATACTGCTAATCGTATCTAATACTTAATAGCAATAGGCTATCTTAGTAAAATGCAATTTTAAGCGCATTAGTGTCTTAACTCTTATCAATCCTTTTAATTTTTGTTTTAGATTTTTGAATGAGTTTTGTCAACGCTTTAGTGACTATAATAATGTGCTATTGTCTTAACTTCTTCCGTTTTTCTTTCATTTAATCTTAATTATTTTAATCAATGTTCTCATTTAAATACATTTTTTGAACTCTTTAGACATGTTAAAATTAATAGTATTTTGCTTGCAACTGAAATTAAGCTGAATTTTCAGAGCTCAAAGTCTGAAAATTAAACCGAACGTAGATCTAGATTATTGTGTACTGCGCATAATACACACGACTGGAGTAATTTATATAGGTAACGTATTAGTGGCACAATAAACTAATAATAATTTTACAATTTTAGGTAGGCTGAAGACCTACCCAAAATATTCGCTAGAAAATTACAGCAACATTAAAAATTATATAAAACTATTAAAGAAATAATTTCAAAAAACTATTAATACAAATAATTAAGGGTGGTATAATAAGTTATGTGGTCTTATTAAATTGTTGAACGCCAAAAAAAAAAAATGAAATGATGCTTTTGCAAGTTGCACTAAATTTTTCTATATCATATTACTGAGATTTATTGCTAATTAAAAATTGCCTCGACTTTCGACTGCTAAGGCAGGCATAAGCGTTGCCAGTAAATCGCAGATAGTAGATATATTTCATTTAGAAATAGTACATGTCATATCTTTCTACCAATATAATAAAATGTATGATTTAGACTATTAATAATAATTTAATACTTCTGTCCTCGGCGTGAACAAGGAAATAAACAAAACTATTGTACTAGCTAGACAATTAATGTTACTTATTTAATAAATTAATTGAATGGCTTTTTATTGATGCTAAGAAAAACAATTAAAAATACCAAGTGCTGTGTGCTTTATTCCAAATAAGATAATATCAAGTCTATAAAGAGAACAAAATCCAATAGGTACTGACAGTTTTTACCATATTATAAGAGTTTTTATAATGATATTTGTAGAGGTTTTCCTAACAAACATGATGGTGTAAAATCGTTCATTATTATTTCTATTAAAGCTATGAGTAATTTTAGAATTTTAGAGGACTGAAGATTGTGTTTGCTTATATGTTATTATAAACAGTTGTTGGTTACTTTGTATCATTGAATATTATTTATTTATTATCAATGGTAATAGTAAAGTATATTATAGTAAAACTGATATCCCCTTACGCTGCCATTTTGTTTCTGAAGATAATAATTCGAGACGATGTGCAATAACCTGTATAATATTCCAACCGTGGCTGAGAGCCAGACTTAAGCTGGTTACACCTCACAGTCACTCGACAAACAGCAACTCGAAGGGGTACCAACGTGTACAATATTTATATAAAATGTACGGTTATTATTCATGTATGTTGTGCGGCCAGTATTGTTTATTAAAAGGCGATAATTTGTACACTTCATAACCAATGCATAATGGTTTCGAATATTTTTATATTCACTCTTGTGACCTATCGCTAGGTATCTCCCGTATTAGGTATTAGGTTCATGAAAAAACGACTTATGTGAACTTTTTTTGGTTTTTATCATACAATCACATATTGACACATCTGTGTATACAAATCCTAAAAAAGTGTATCTGATTCGAGAATACCGTCAACTTGTGTGTTAACCTTCGTAGTATAACCATCGATTTTCTAAGCTATTATAAGAAGCACTTACACAAACACAAAAAAAACACCAAATTTTAGTGAAATATTGTACCAAGTTGAAAATGATTTAAAACCAGTAATTTAAAAAAACTGTTCACAATAACATATTTTGACTAGGTACACCACAAATTAGTATTAATTATTTCGATATGTCGTTTATGCAAACAAATTTGAAATGACTCGTGTCAAAAAATTGTAGAAAAATAAGTACATTTTGACTTAAACATACGGTAGTAACCCACAGCATAATAATAACAGTCGAGTTAAACAGAATATTATTATAACAGTTGAATATTCCTGTATGCTATTAGATATGATGAATATCAAGATTGTTCTTTTACTTAGTCTAGCAGCGTATCCTTCGTAAGTATGATTTTTCTATTACTTCTGGTTTGATATATGCATAAAAAATGTTTTTAGTGTGTAATTTATACATTGAAAATAAACGTTTATTTTTCAGGTCTGGTAAACATTTATCTTGGGAATTAGTAATTACGTAAAATTTAGTTATTGATTAGAAAAAATATATATGTATCTGCATATTTGATATTTTTGAGCATATATTTGCCTATAATTATTATTTCTAGATTTAATTGCATGTTGTAAGTAAAATATTAATACAAACGTTTCATTTTATTATTAACCTTTATTGTGTTTACGAATATGAGCACTGAACTCAATATTAAGATCAAAATTTCTAAAATATTTGTCATTGTTCTTTTAAATTTCAAAACATCACCAAAATAATTGTAATTTAATGTTATCCTGATGTATATAATACCTTTTCAAATATTTAAGGGGAACGGAAGCACTATTTATTAAGGGGCAAAGGATAGGCAATCCTTTTTGACAAAAATTGATCTAATAGCCATGTTTCATATGTCTACTAATTTCAAGGCGAACACATATTACAATATTCTAATTATAATACTTTTAAAGTTATTTTTCTCCGAGTTATGACGAAAGTTTGATAAAAAACCACTCATAGAAATCATTTTCTGGAGTATCTATTGGATAGATTTCAAGTTTTTTTTTAGCTTACTATTTTTTCAATGGTGGCTAAAAGGCCGATTTTTGATTTAGCGATTAAAAAAGTAGTTGGATGTAATAGAAAAAACTTTAAAAAAATAAAAATAAAAATGCTTATAAATGTTTATGATATGAAAATTAAAAATCGGCATTTTAGCCTCCATAGAGAAGATATAACACTTCAGAAAGTGACTCCGCGTTTTAGTTTTAATATGTAAGAAAAATTACGCTTTCCGTTCCCCTTAACCTATGTAAATGTTATTTAAATTATGGCATATCAGCTATTTGAAAACTTTAGACTATATTATGTAATATTTTTAAATATGACGTGCTCTTTAGCTTTTTTAAGGAGTTTTGATTTGGAATCGATAAATGTCACTCTAAAGTTTGAACAGAACGTAGGTGAGTGTGAAGTCAATTGTGTGGTATGGGATGCGGCTTTAGTGCTCGCCAAGTATTTAGAAATATTGTACGAAAAACAAAATACAATTTTTGCCTCTAAGCGAGTCTTAGAGCTAGGAGCAGGATTAGGATGTGTCGGGATTACAGCTGCGTGTTTTGGGTAAATGAAATCGCACGTTATTATACTAATATAATTTAAATACCTATGTGTTAATCAAAAGCTATCATGAAATAATATTTTATTTTTATGTGATAAACCCAATTTGCAGTAAAAGGTACATAACTTAATCATTCAGAAATAAAACATCCTTATTGGTTAAGTGCCTGTATCAAAAGATTCGCAAGTTTCACGTATAAATTAGAATAATTCTGGAATTAGGATTAAAAAAGGCAAATTAATAACTAGCCGAACAAAAAGTAGTCTTTAAAAAACCTCATGTTACTTTAACTAAAAATACAATAAAAAAATAAAGTTTTTCAGCCGAATCTGCAACCACGAAAGATCATTTACATGTCTCGTTGAAGTACCGAGATAAATTTAGAGTAGTGGTGGAATTATAAATTATGATATAGTATATTACGAAGCAGTAACAAGCTAGTATATTAAAACATCAAGTTACTGGCTAATATTGTTGTGTTTAATATTTGGCTTAAAACAATTCATAGAGAATTTGGGCCCTTAAACTGTTTGAATTTTTTATTTAGTTCTAATTTAAACGTTGAACGTACAACATTTCTTTTATCTCTTATATCTTTCCCTATCCCCAACCCACTAGCTCCCATCCCCTATCACTCACCCCTATCTTGTTACCTGTTATCTCTTATCAGATAACAGCGTAACGCTTTTTTTGGTAACACTTTTTGACATTTTTCGGTTATGTGCCAGAGCTAAATACTGTCTTACATTCTTTATTTTTTGTGTTAATTTAAAATACTGATAATGTTTTTTTGATCGGTAGTAGTTTGGATTTTGATTTAGTAATGGTTATCCGATTGGGAAATCGGTTTTAGGCCCTAGATAGTTGTGTAATATAAACAAATTACGTTCATATTTTATGTACGTTCTACATTAACATTCTCAGGCATATGTAGCATACTTAATAAATAATAAATATTAATAATTACTATCATATCCTACAATTCTGGTAGGTTATGATATATTTTTTGATAGATATTTACAAATGAATTTCAAAATTTAGAATTGATTATAAATTTGCCTTTTGATTGAATATTCTAACTTAAAGCTCTATAGCCTCTGAAAAAGCGAAGTTTGGATAACCTTCAAGATGGCTCTTGAATAGAAGGGTAAATGTAAGAAACGGTAAAATAAGTTGCAAATTGCAATAAATCGTTTTTTATTTATTTATCAATGATTTTTATTATCTACATTTTTTAAATAACACAATATTGATAATATACAAAAATATACAAAAGTGTTTTCTCTATGTTTACTTTAATTTGGTAAATATGAACTTGAAAATAGATTATTATTGTGTTTGATGTTTTGTGGACATTAAATTTTATAACAACTGACACTGAATAAATCCACATGTAATTTTTACAGGGGAGATGTTATTTTAACAGATTTACCACAAAACTTACCACTATTACAATATAGTATTGTACAAAATGAACTTCATATTATTAAAGGCAGTGCAAAAGCAGAAGCTTTAGAATGGGGCACTAAATTACAAGCGGAACCTTTTGATATTTTGTTAATGGCCGATTGTATTTATTATACTGACGTAAATAATATATTAAGTACATTTATTTATTAAATCTATTTATACATGATGTTTGTTTGAATGCCTATTTATGTAGGGTTTAGATGATTTAGTGAAAACAATAGTGGATTCGACAACACCAGAAACTTTAATTTTAATTAGTCAAGAGATTAGAGATACGGACAAAAATAGTTGGGTAATATTTATAAACAAATTGAGTAAATATTTTACACTATCATACATACCAGAAGATGAACAACATCCCCTTTATAGAAGTTTCGACATACTTATAGTAAATCCAAAGAAAATAAGTTTGTGAAATACAAATATACATAATGATAATAACCATAACCTATAAAATAATACTTAGTATAAACTTAAATGCAATGATCCCATTAATTTTTCTAGCAAATACATTGTTTTTTTTTTTGTTCAATTGTTTTTTCTCGTTAAAATAAAATAAAATATTGTTATCTATTAAAAATGCATTTGGAAAGTTTTTATTATCTGTACATATGTTCAATTCGTAATAACGAAAAAGTTGAAAAAGTCATAGAAATATGTTGGTACTTGGTCCGATTTCAGTTATGTAATGAGTCGAAATTTTGTCTGGGTTTTTGGTCTAAAACGTAAAAAAAAAAACAAACCGCATGCAATCCCTTTAATTTCAACGCATGGTGTACATCTCGTCTGGGAGACGCGACGCATACGCAACGATTGAACGATCGATATATTTTAGTCTACCACTGTTTGGGCACTGTTCAAATGTTTTAATAATTAAGAGTTATGTGTTCGATTCATTTAACTGGTCCGTTTGGCGTTGTTAATAATGTTTTTCTGCATTTATCACACTAGGTATCTTGAAAAGTAAATGATGGAACACCTTTTCAAAGACGATGTCTGATTTTCCCCAAACAGGTGATTCTATCAATACAGAATTTGTATAAGCTTGGTAATGGTCTGAAAAGAAATAAGTTATCTGACAATTGTATATTTTTAGAGATATCAGCACCGAGTGTTACCGCGGTTGTATTTTTTTTTCATTTAGCTTATCTTCTAATACATCGATGTTCAAGAATTTATATTTATCGGATTTACAGTAGTATTCTTTTGAAGCTCTTATTAAAGAAAATTAACTAATACTATACACCCAGTAAAACTACTGCGAAACATCCCTGCTGTGGGATTTCTCGTGTAACCATTTTTTTTGTCTCAATAACGAGAACATAATTTCCAACGAGTCTTGGTTCAATCTATTGCACAATATTAAAATGCCTTGATTTTGTGGTAAACAATTTACCATATCTAGCCATTCGGACTCGTATAATTGCAATATCGCTGTTGATGACTACTCCATACCAGTAAAACACAACGGAAACTTTTGGGTAAAAAATGAAGCATTAGATAGAATCAAAAAGGCAAAATATTTCTCTACTGTACTTAAAAATATAACCGTAGTGCTACCCTTGATTGAAATATACAAGGTTATTGCACATATACCACCCCTTCTTCATAAAATATTGGATGATAAAAACAAATATGTCAGTGTTGTCTACCCTATCAAAATCAAGTATATAAGTTAACAGTACAAAATATAGTAATAGTAAAGTAGAACCTGTATATTTCAACAATGACGCTAACTAACGATTCCCGACAATTAATTGGCCATCGAAAAATAGCCCAGTGGACCATCTATTGTATTTATAATCAATGTTTGTATGTTCATTATCATATTAATAATTGATAACAGCTCGTATTGAATACCGTTATAGTGTTATCATTATTATTACTGTCGTTTTAAATTTTTACTGGGTCATAACTCATCACTCATCATTATTACTTTTGTGTTTGGTCGAGTCGTATCCATTTTGCAATTAATTTTCTTATAGTTCAAACTACATGTAATAGTTTTAATTATGTGCTCATTAGAGTATTTTAGGGATTTTGATTTGGAATCGATGGATATCACTTTAAAGTTTCGACAGCAAGAATATGGTGATGTCAATTGTGTGGTATGGGATGCGGCTTTAGTGCTCGCCAAGTATTTAGAAACATTGTACGTCAAACAATATACATTTTTTGTCTCTAAGCGAGTCTTAGAGCTAGGAGCAGGATTAGGATGTGTCGGGATTACAGCTGCGTGTTTTGGGTAAATGAAATCGCAAGTTATTATACTCATATAATTTAAGTACCTATGTGTTAATCAAGAGCTATTATAAAATAACATTATTTTTATTTAAAATAATTTTATGATAAACCCAATTGTTAACTCTTAGCAATATATCATTTAGAAAAATAAAACATCCGTATAGGTTAAGCGCCTGCATCAAAAGATTGGTGCAGATGGTAAGTTTCATATATAAATTAGAAGAATTTAGGAATTAGTATTAAAAAAGGCAAATTATACCTGGTGGAACACAGGGTAGTCTTGAAATTAACCTTAGGCATGATATTATTTCAACTTACAATTTAAAACAAAATTTTCCGTATTTATTATTAAAAAATGTTATCAACATAATTATTATGAGTAAAAAATTATTTTATAAAAATTTTTTACAGACTATTAATGGTAAAATAAAAGAACTGGGAAGAAGTCCAAGTTGTAGTTTAACATAAAAAATCATCCATCTCGTGTATTCAAATAATATTTTCACATGCAATAACAAAATAATAGAAACCAATAAGAGATAACACTCTTCATCCTATTAAAATAACTCAATGTGTGATAGTATTGACTATATATTTCGATTGAATCTATTATCAATTCTTTTTTTATAAAAAGTGTTATTCATCTTTGTTTTTATTTAATATATTGTTTTTACATTCTTTATTATTGTGTTTCAACTTTCAATACGGATAATAATATTTTTTAGATTCGGTATTAGTTTGGATTTAGATTTTGTAAAGGTTAACCAATTTTGAAATGGGTTATAACCCCTGAAAGTTGTTAATTCATAAACAAATAAAATCCATTTTTCAAGTATTTTCTTGTACATTAACTTTCTTAGCCATAAGTAGCATACTTAATAAACAATAAATATTAGTATTAAATTGCTATCATATCCTACAATTATAGTAGTAGTATTAATAGATGTTAGCAAATTAAATTCAAAATTTGGAATTGATTAAAAATTTGCCCTTTGAGTGATTCTTCTAGCTTGAAAAAGTAAAGTTTATGCCTTATACAACTTTCAAGTTTGCTCAATTGTGTATATTAGAAGGGTAAATGTAAGCAACGGTAAAAGGAAAATAATTTGCAAATTGCAATAAATCATTTTGTTTATTTCTCAATTATTTTTATTATTTACTTATTTTAATAACATAATTTTGATAATATACGCTATTGTTGTCTTTTATATATTTACTTTAATTTGGTAAATATCAACATGAAAATAGACAATTATGGTGTTTGATAATTTGTGGAAATTTAATTTTATAACAACCGACACTAAATAAATCCACATGTAATTTTTACAGGGGAGATGTTATTTTAACAGATTTATCACAAAACTTACAACAACTACAGTGTAATATTGATGAAAATAAACTTCATATTAAAGGCAATGCAAAAGCAGATGCATTAAAATGGGGCAATAAGTTACAAGCAGAACCTTTTGATATTTTGTTAATGGCTGATTGTATATACTATATTGAAGTAAATAGTATATAACACAAATTAATTTATTAAAATTATAATGTTTTTTTGAATGCATATTTATGTAGGTTATAGAAGATTTAGTGAAAACAATGGTAGATTCGACAACACCGGAAACTTTAATTTTAATTAGTCAAGAGATTAGAGATACGGACAAACAAAAAACAAGTTGGGAAATGTTTACTAACACATTGATTAAATATTTTACAATATCATACATACCAGAAGATGAACAACATCCCATTTATAGAAGTTCCGACATACTTTTAATAAATGCAAAGAAAAAATGTTTGTGAAATACAAATATAAATAAAGATAATAACCATAACCTATTAAATAATATTTAGTTTAAACTTAAATGCAATGATCCCATTAATGTTTCTAGCACATACAATTGGTTTTTTTTGTTCAATTGTTTTTTTTCACTAAAAAAAAAAAAATACTGTTAGTCATTAAAAAATGCAATCAGTAACTCATTATTACCTGTACATATGTTCTATTCGTTTTAACGATAGTGTTGCAACTTTTTTTAATGTAGTTTTCTTTGACTGAGTGGTCTTTTGAAAACCAATTAAACTACGCGCAGTCTAAAAACAAAAAAATGTGTGATACTCTTACTACTTATAATATTATTAGCATCAGTACAAAATAGAAGTATCTAAGAAAATCATCAGTATTCAAGGACGGTTTTGATAAAAAAAACAAAATTATAATTTTACTTTGACGTCTTCTACACAAGCTTTTAATTTAAATAATTTGTAGTTAACACTTACTAAATATAAGCCATATAATGCTCTGATGTTATTTGGATTGAGAAGAATTGCATATGAATAATGAGCACGAGCTAGCTCTAAATTGTCAACGCCTCCCTGAAACATGAATAATGTGAATAGAAAATTTTGATGATAATACGTGCATAAAGTATTGGATGCAAACAGAGATATTATAAACAATAAACTATTTTATATAACCAATATTTGTGGACGCAAATTATAATACATTCTAAATCTTCTATTGTCATAATACAGAACAGTTATATCTAAATATTCTTATGTAACTTTTTTAACAGAAAATTTGTTTGGTACGTGTATTCTTTCTTAGCACTGAATATAATATAATGTGTCGCATAAAAAAAAAAAATATATTTATGTAATGCATACATGTGTGTAACGAATATCAGCATGACGTTGATGATATAAATGATTCTGAGAATTGTGTAAAATCATTTCTTCCATACAGTACGCTGATTTTGCATATTCCCCTTCTAAAAGATACAAATTACTTAATTCTTGCCAACCTTCTTGATCAACCATAAATCTATAATATTTTATGTTAATTACTACACAATAGTTTGTTAATTTAATTATTTTAGAATAAATTCTTACTTTTTTAAATAATCGACAAGTTCTTTGATGGCTTCACTAATTTGACATTTTGCTTTTAATACGGCAACTTTATGTTTCCTAGTCTGAGCATTGGTCTCATCAGCTTTAATTAATTTATCAAGGGCTTCTAATGCTTCATCGTACCTATATGGTAAATATATTTATTATACCTACTCTATACAGTTATACTATTTTATCAACACAATATGATTACTTTTCCTCAGCTTGCAGAATGGTTACAGCCAATCTACGTACTCTATGGCTGTCAGGAAACTTTTTTAATAGCATTTGCAAACATGATTTGGCAACATCGATACGATTACAGTCACATGCAGCAATTAAAACTTGTTCCAAAATTAGGTAACCTACAATTGAAGAAAAAAAAAATTTACTTGTTTATGATTATAAAGGTTTGCTTTATTTCTTATAAACTAAATAAAATGTCTTCCTAGTCACTTTTTTATTTTATTATCACAACTTTATCTGTAAACCGGTTACACGATAGTTAGGACTTAGGGTGTGCCTCAATACTTGAAAAATAACTTACGATCATTTCCTAGGTGTTTAATTTTGTGTTTTAGTGACGAGTCCCAAATATCCAATACTTCTTTACTCTTACGTTCATTGTCTTCGCGATATTTTTTAAGTTTCTCTTGAGCTTCTACAAATAAAATATTTCCTAAATTGACAGTTCAATATTTAAGGTAGTGTTAGTAATAACTCACCACTAAGATTAACCATGGTGATTAACACACGAGGAATGTAACAAAATATAAAATTATATAAAAGACTAGAGAAAAACAAACCTCAATTAATTAAGAATATCGTTGTAATAATTGGAAAAAGTTAACAAATTAAAATTTTTCGACAGTCGACCAGAAAATAGGGAATGATAATTGATAATTCTGTGTTTTGCTGGTTACGTGATTAATTGATAAGAGTACAGTGTGTCTATATGACAATATATTTTAATTTCTTTTATCCTTAAGTTGCACTTTCCCGGTTATTTTACATATTATATATTTTACAGTTTAAATTGTATAATTAATCTAGTACAATATTGATAATTTTCTATTTAGAACATAGGCTCCAATATAAGTACGTAATAAATTTAATTTCAATCATGAAACTTGTTACTGTAGTCTTATCACGTTATTTTTGTGATAAGAGCTGTGATAGTACATTTTTTAAAAGTGTATTTGGGAATTGGTTCAAACTTCAAGATAAACGGCAGATGTTTCATATATTTTAAATTTTTCTGTCGATTGTTAATATGAAAGTAATAACCAAAAAATCACTAATATTTTAATAAAATATACTAAAAAAAAAGTACTTTTTTCGTCTGTTATTGTTACACAGATGTGTATTTAACGTACAAATTAGTAACAAAATGCCAAGAAGACAAATCAAACGTTATTCCGACTTTTAACTAGAATGTATTGCTGATGTTGCATTAACAGTTGCAATGAAGTGTGTTATACCAAAACAAAATTTAAAAAGTATGAGCAATTTAAAAAATGTCATTAAGCATTTTTATTTGTAGAAGTATTGTTGATTTTAGACCTAATTTATTTATAATATTTTAGCAGTGATTTATGCCATCATATGATTTAAAAATGTTTTTATTTCAGTCTTATCACGGGCCTTGAATACAATGTGCCGTATTGGTGAAGATTTATATATAGAGCCAAATTCAACTCAACTAATATTTCATACGACCAATAGTTGGCATACGGTTTATGCATGGTTCACATTTGATTCAACATTTTTCTCCAGTTACTATTTTACTCAGGAGGACGAGCAAAACAGTGAAAGTTCTTTAAAATGCAAAATATCACTCAAGGTAACAACATATGAGTCGATTAGTTGTATAATACAGTATGTCTGGATGAGTAACAATAAAATATTGGTATAAGATTAGAAAGGTTCATTAGACAGCTCTCACTGTCGTCAGTTTGACACTTGGTCAGGAGGTCCAGTTTACTACCGTCTAGTGAAAAGAACCGCCATTCGTCTTTGAACCAAATTCCTCAAGAAACTATCTAATGATGGCAGCATTGGGCTTTTAAGATATGTTAAGCTACCTAATGAAAAAATTAGTTTCAATTAAGATTGGACCTACCTATTTTTAGAACTAGTCAATTCATAGGGGATTAATAACTAATGTAAAATGTAAAATTACATAAAATATAACTATATAAGCTTTTTATTTTTAGTCCTGTATTACAATATTTAAATCTCCTCATCTTGCTCGTTGCTTGGAATCATGCCATATGGAAATCAATAGCAATGCGGATAATATAACCATACAGCTACGTTATTCTAATTTTTGTATCAAAACACATTTAATTCCAGTACTAGAATACTCAGCATTACAAGCAAGTTATATTATAATAATTGTATTATGTATTACTAAATAATATACTTGTATGTATTTTTTTTTTTGGATGGATAATCAAAGGGTTGGTTTCACAATAATGTGTGCGTGTGTTTTGTTTTAAAAATTAAAGGGCTTCTTGACAGGTTCCTTCAAAACTTGTATTCAACATTTTATTTCGAGAAGGTCTTTAGAAATATCACATGAATTAAATGGTTAAAAAATTCAGAAATTCAAACTTTCCTATTTGTTTGAACGGCAGTTGAATTTCTTTGTTAAAGGGGTAAATTTTAAACATTTAATCGAAAGTATTACAATGATAAAATGTGTATCTTCAATAGACAATTTTTTTTTTTTTGATGAAAATAAATATTAAGTTGTTCTAGTTATAAAATTTAAACTAATTTTTCTCCAAGTTATGGTGAAAGTTTGATAAAAAAATAACTTCCGTTGAAATCATTTTCCGGTGTATCTATTGGACGGAATAATTTAAAAAAATTTTTATGTGAAGCTTACTATTTTCTCTATAAGGGCTAAAAGGCTAATTTTTTATTTAGCTATCTGAAAATTCGTTAGATTTATTAGAAAATACCATACTATTAAATTAAAAATATAGTTAAAAAAGTTGGCGTTGATCCTAATATTTAATATTTATATTTATAGATGTATAGATGTTATTAATGATAAGTCTGTGTCGTGTTATTAGCCGTAACTTTTCTTATAAAATGAGTATTTTACAGGTTAACCAAAATGTTGAATCATCTTACATGTTATGCATAGATTCTAAAGTGCTATCAGCTGCTGTTAAACATTTTCAAAATAATGAAACTGACATTACAATGGAAGTAACTTCTGAAAAAGTATTGTTGAGAAGCCACCCAGAATCTTGCAGAGGTAATAATTGAATCTAAAGCTAACAGTGCATTTCAAATTAAACATTTATCTATGCTTTTGTTTTTAATTTCAGATCTTAGAAAAATGTTGAGGACTGAATTAAGCTTACAATCTTCAGAATTTGAAATTTACGACGTTGGCGATGGAAACTGTGTGACATTTTGCCTGAAAGAAGTACGACCATTATTAGCTTTTGCTGAACACATTTCTTTGCCAATGTCTATTCGTTTCAGTTCTCCAGGAATGTGAGTTGTATTTGATTGTTTTAAAATTTTGATTGAAAATTAACTGGCATCACTTTGCTACATTTCATTTCAGGCCAATGGTATTTGGACTTAAAAATGGATTAACATTTGAAGGTCAATATATTTTATCAACAATGACTGATAACAATGCGCTCTCCGGAAATGCCGAATCATTACCTTTACGATTGAACATAAACACAATTGAAAACACTCAGAGTAGCGATGGACGTCACGGAAACAATGTGCACAACAATCCCCAAACGGCGTCGGCTAACTCGTGCTTACGCACACCAATGCGAGTCCAAGTAGAGTACCCAGATAGTATATCGAGGAAGCGTCGAATTCAATCCAGTAGTGAACAACCTTCAAAAAAATTCAACCAAAGTTCAACGTCTGTAATTGAACAATTTAGACAAGATTGTTGCATGGAAGACGATGATATTTTATCTCAAGTCGTTGATTTTCCGACAAATGATGTACCTAGCACGACTGGTATAAATGAAGAAAATCTGACTCTTGGTCTGTCCGATACAGGCCATGTATTTGCAAGGTGCTTAACATTACCAGTGCAAAAATCGCCGAAAAAAGGAAAAGTAATAGTTTATGATTCGGATGGACTTGTAAGTGATTCTGAGTAAAGTATTTTAAGTGTATTATAATTTAAATAAAAATTTATTTAGTATGTTAAACAATTCTTTGTTATTCTTTGGTTACTTATACAAAAAAGTTTTTTGTTCCTCTTGTATGTAATAATGATATTTTTGTAAAGAAAAAAAATAGTATAACGCTATGCTTAAATTGTATATTGTTTGATGTTTAAATTACTTTATTTTTATAAGTAAAAAGTCAATGTTAAATTATAAACTATTTGAAATTATTGTGTTGAAACTTGTAAAGACTGTGTATTGTAAAGAATAAATTATGAATTTTTATGTAATTAATTAGTTGTGAAAATTTCAAAAATTGATTTAAGGTTAATATATTTTTTGTTTTAAGAATGAGAATGACAATATCAAGAAATATTGTAATTATCGTAATAACAATAACGTTATTGGTATTGAAAATGTCATTGTTATATTGTTTTAAAACATTATTTTGTACTCCAATCCACCCAAATATTTCTCTTGTAGTTTAATAATTTTGTTTAAAAGAAATAGAGAATATTATTTAAATCTGACGATTAACTCAGCTAACATAACTTGAACAGCTAAGACCAAAAAATGTGAAATTATATTCAAATATTTTATTGTAAAAAAAAAAACCATTTGAGAAGTGCAATGTTACAACGGGTATAAATGTTAAATACTATTATATTGATACAATTATTAAATAGGAATGTAAGTCCTATCATTGATCATAAATATTAATAGTATTTATAATCAATGGTCCTGTATTATATTATGCTACTATTGCGCAAGTTATCTTAGAAAAAATATTCGTCCTTACATCAGTTGATTGTTACATTAATTATCATTATTGTTTTTATGTTTTTTTTGAAACGCTCCGATTTTTTTTAGCAGTAGGTTTCAGTTATTAATATTGTGACTTTCCGGCAAAATATTATCAATACCATTTCCTATAGGCTATATTGTCCTATCAAAGGTCCGAAAAAAGATCGGAGCAAACAACAAATTTCACTCTCTAACTAAAAAAAAAATTGTTTTCAAAACGAATTATGTTTTTTATAAATAGATAAAATTATAACCGAGTTATTCTCCAAGGAACAAATAGAATATATTTCTTATTTATTTTCATTGTTTTTAACTGCCTATATATTGTTCCGCAATTATTAATAATAACGTTAATGAATAAACGTACAAACTGAACAAACGGAACAACTAAAATTTTATCGTTTCCGTTCCTAGCCGTTTGATACGGCTAAAACGTTTTTAATTAGGTACATATATTATTTCGCAACAATTTGAGGAAATCAATAAAAAACGTTTACAACCCCTGGATCCTGATAATAAATTCTAAAATTTGTTCAATTCGAGAATTAAATGAGATATTTGTTTTTCATTTAAAAATTCTAACTTGAAAACTAACATTCTTGCAATTTACAAAAATATTTTTAAAACTGAAGTATTAAACTTTTTAAAATCAATCTCTTGGTATTCCGATTCCACGATTAAAATTGGTTTTATTAAGTTACAACTTACAGCCCGTTGAAACTAATAAAACCGATTAACTTAATAACTTGCTAAAAAAAATTGTATTGCGAAATATCAAAAGAAAGATTTAGAAGAAATGTCAAGTGAGAAATTAGAAAAGTGTCATAAAAAGTATTTTTATCAGAACGAAAAAAATTTTGATTAATTTTCAAGTTAAAATATTTTAATGTGAGATTAAAATTTATCATGTTATTCAAATGAAAAAAAAAATCTTTAGGAAGTACTAAGAGTTGAGCAAGATCAAGTAATCTGAAATTTTAGAGAATTCTTATTTAAATAGGCTATTATTGATTGGAGGCATAACAAAAACATTTTTTTACACAGATACAGCACCTATATGTAATATTTTTACAATATCATATATGAGGTAATTATTGAAAATGGAGTTCGTATTTCAGTAAATATATATCATATGAATAAATAATGACAGTTTTGTAATCAGAAGAAAAAATTGCCGAACCTAAACACACATGTTGGTTAGCGGGCACAAATGCGTCCACAGGGTGGCCACCGAGGGTTTACCAAGTCCCTATTGTACGATATGTAAATATAATAGATACTCAACCGAACATTATAGTTTGATAGCATAATGGATATATACAGAAATTAAAATAATATGACAAGTGGAAACCTAAAGTGATCGATAACATAATACAGAATATCAGTTATAGCTAACGTTTTTTTTTTTTTGAATTATAATTGAATACAAGGCAAGACGTTGTCGTCTCTTTTTTAATATCGCCGAGTTCTTTATTTTGTTTTCATGAATGTTCTTTCAAGGTATATTGCAAATTATACAGCCCAGTGCTTCCCGGGTGCGAGTCAAAGTTTATTGGATATTCGATTACTTTCCGAATCTCACAAAGACACAGACCAGATATCATAAGAATTAGCGTGCATTTGTATATTCGTCTCTGGTTAGTCTTGTACAATATTACATTACATAATACATATGAATGTACAAAGCATTCTTTGTAGACCGTTCACGACACACAGCAAAAGAATACCGATGTGACCCAACGATAAACATAATATAATCATTGATTTAAGAATGTTCTAAAATGGTCAATGGTATAACAAAGCCCACCAGTACACCAGTTTGGTAAAAAATAAAACTCAAAAAGAATTTTCATCTATCTCAAAATATGTTTTTCATTATGTCATTGCCATTTCGTCCATTTCTAACCTTTCTATTAACTATTATTATCCATTATTGCTAGTAATGGCAACGGAAAATATTCTAATAGGTTAAAGATATAACAAAGAAAATGATTTGAAATTCCTTTAACGTTGGCATTTTGTACGCCTTGTATAGTAATTATTCAATAACCATAAAATATTATTTAAATACCTTTCGTCATTACTTATACGTGTTAAATTTAACGTTTTACATTAATTAACACCGACATTAAAACCTACCTACTACCCGGCTATAGTTCATTGACATATTTTTGACATTTTGGCCTATGCTATTCAAATAGGCGGCCTCGTGCTTAAACATGCGTTTCGTTCCACTCAGCAAAGATCAAGATAATTACGAGAAATATAAATAATGTATAATTGTGTAATAATTATACATTAACACGTTGAATGTAGGTATGTATATTTATTTTATTATTCGGTAATAATAATAATAAGCCTATAAAGTTAGTTTGTTATTAAATTTTGTTGTTTGTCAAAGAAGAACATCTTAATGAACAAAAAATCAAATGTATTAGTTTGGCACTGTCATAGTTAAAGCGTTTGTGTACGCCTCAGTACAAGTGTCGAATAAAATATATTATACAGAGCCTATTTTACTAATTAACATTTGATACGAACTACTCTTAAAAAATATTCGTGTCCTGTGGGATTTAAAAAATATAGAAATGATTTCTAACTTAAATTCGTGCCTCTGTTGTTTCTGAAGTAAATGCGGAGTGTTTGTAAAGCTTCGTTTCCCAAGAGATTGTTTTCTAGTAGTAAGGCTGCCGTCGCCGTTTCTGGTAGTAAATTCTGTATACTAGGCACTCCCCGGGTCCCTCGAGTCTGACTAGTAATTACTTAAGTTAACCCAATAAATCGACAAAAAATTACCAGTTATAACCAATAAATGACGTTCCCGCTGTTAGTGCGTATAAATATAGTCCAGGTAATACAGTAAGTCCATCATTTAGTTTGTAATTAATATTGTACTTATACTACATCTTATAGCAGGTTGTACATACGTTTGGTCCTTAAAATATTGAGAGTCATTACCACTTGTTAAAATAGTTTACAAGCCATTAAAATACGAGATGTGTTGCCTAAAGAAATTATCAATGGATTTTAAATGGTATTATAAACATTGTTAAGTGTGTTTAGCTTTATATCTAAAGCTATGCTTCAGTATCAACATGACTTCTATGTTATCTCCTCTCGAAGAAAGTGTTTAATAGGTATCTAAGTTAAATTGCAGTTTCCACTTTTATTTTAAGCGACAACAACTAAAAAAAAAAACCCCCGAAAGAACTATTTAAAATCAAAATAAGTTAAGCTACTTGAACTTAAGCTACTTACACAAAAGTGTAATCGAACATGTTAAAGTTAAAGAACAAGCAGACTACCTAAGTTGTTAAACATGTATTTATAACAACTAAAGGCTAGCAACTAAACACCTGGCCTGATGTCAATAGTGTATTACATCTGACCTGATATCTATCAAAATTATTAGAGTAATACTAATAAGAGGTTTACGATGAATTCTTATGTAGGCAACAATAACGTGTTCGAACGGCACTTTGAGTAGGCAATTTTACTACTTCTGTGTATTAGTTTAGAATTTTAAATCTTTATAATATCACATAAATATAACATAATCTTCTTCTTCTTCAGCTTTTATAGATCATTAAGGCCCATCACTGCTCCACACAGCCGCCTCCATTCCTCTCTATCATTTGCTAATTCTTTCGGGTTATCAACCCTAAATATCCTGAAATTCTGGTTGGGCTCGTCTATCCACCTTTTCTTCGGGCTGCCCAATGGTCTCTTACCTCCTGGTTTCCAGTTAAGCGCATCCTTCATTAAATATAACATAATATTATGTTCTTTGTCGAGAATAGTGGACGACTGAATCGAGTAATGTTATTATATTATTTCTTATCGTTTGTAAGTATTCGAGTTTGACGAGTTAAGTTAAAAACTATTACCTATGGTTGTAATAGGCCGCAAATAATGTATCTACCGACAATAGTAAGTTATTTTGGATGATCTGTATAGAACGATCAATGGGAACGGTGTTTGATCGATTGTCGTTTGGCATTTTGCCCGGCGGTTGCTTTTGGAAAACTTTAACCGGCAGCATTACCCTCGGCTACCGATTGATCGCTCGTTTTTCTCTTAAGTTGTTCGACAGCAAGAAAAGTTTTCACTTGTTATTAAAGCTCGCGCTAAGCCGATATGACCGACTTAGTTGTGGCTTTAGACACACACACACACACATATATATATATTTATATAAAATTAAAGATAATCGAAACCAATAAACGGGTGGTGCGCCTTCTCGAAGACCCACCGCCGTCTGCGAATGAATCGCCCTAATGCCGCGCGTATTAAGTGAAAAATGTTTAATCCCTTTTACCTTTTATAAACCCTCTTTTAATGATTATTTATGGCCGAACTTTTTTCTCTCTCTCGGATTAACGGGCTCGTCATTTCCCGTAGGGCACAGACGAGGGCGGCCAACCAAACGCTCTGGAATAAAAAC